TAATGCACTAGTCAAGGGCAGTGAAATGCAAATATTTGTGCTAATGTTCACTATCCTGAGGAAAACAAACATAAAAAAGGCTAATATTATTGCACGCAGCAGTACGAGCCGCATTAACGATGACGGAATAAAAATAAAGAAATAAAGAAATGTTCTATTAGGTGTAGAACAATAGGTGCCTGCCATGTATTACATGGCAGGCACCTAGTGACTGCCATGTAATGGCAGTGACACTAGGTGCAGTGACTGCCTTGCTGCTCTTCCCTATGTAATGCTATGGGCAGGCCCCAATTAGCAACAGAACACAGAGCAGAGGAGCCGTTTAGGATTACAGAGGAACTCCTTAGGACTACAAACACGCCATCATTGTAGTTTCTAACTATGCCTGAACACTCAGTTGAGCAGAATGTCAGAACGCAACATGGCGGAACTGTCTGTCACTCACAGCTGCAGTTGGCAGGGGATTAATTACCGTAGCAACAGAACACAGAGCAGAGCAGAGGAGCTGCTTAGGACTAGAAACATGCCATAACTAGTTTTATCTATGGCAAAGACTCAGTTAAAAGAGAGGCCTGCGCAGCATGTAAGAACTACAACATGGCAGAACTGTCTGTTACTACAGAGTAGGACTTAGCTGGTATTCAGAACTACTTGTGTTTTGAGCATTATATAACTGATTTAACCCAATCACTATTACACATGGGATTATTGTGGCCATTTCAAATGAAGTTTACTGAAAATGTCAAAACAAAAGCCTTGAAAACTTTTTACATCATGTAATTGCTCTTTTGGGCATTAGATAACTGGTTTAACCAAACCACTGTTACACCCAGGATTAGTGTTGCAATTTCAAATGAAGCTTAATGAAAATTTCAAAATAAAAGCCTCAATAATCCTCTCAGGTAAGTGCACCACCATAGGCCATAGGCAGTGCAATAATAGCTTTTATTATCTTTTTCCCTCGAGTTAGTTATTATATTATCCTTTATTAGCATTTTCTCTCAGGTTATGGAACTGGCTTGCGCAAGCCAGTACATTAGCATTAGCATTTTACCTAAAATAAGCTTTTAGCTAATTTTTGTACTTGTTAGCCATGTTTAGTATACTGAATGGACTAAGTGAATGACAGACAACATGCTAGTGATAGCAATCATGCTAACATTAGCATTTTGGCTAATTTTAGCTTTTGCATTAATTTTAACATAATGAATGGTGCAAGTAAAGCTTAGTGAACATGTTTCTGACTCTCCACAGGTTTTTGACTACAATTTAGCTCAGCTTAGCATTGATGCTAATGTTGAGCATCAGAACGCTTTTCTTACTTATTAGCAATGTTTCGTATACTGAATGGAGTAAGTCAATGACAGACAACATGCTAGTGATACTCCACATGCTACTGATAGCATTCATGCTATTATTAGCATTTTTGGCTAATTTTAGTTTATGCAACATACTGAATGGTACAAGTACAGCTTAGTCAACATGCTTCTGACTCTCCTTAGGTAATTGTCTACATTGCAGCTTTCTTTAGCATTAATGCTAATATTTAGCATCAGAACACTTTATTAAAAACCGGCAGGCCCCAGTTAAATTTCTTCAGGAATTTTCTAGTTTCTACATACATTGCAGTTTGTGCTGATGCCACAAGATGTTACTAAACCTTCCACGCTGCTCCTTTAAACTAATGATCCTCTGTCTCCTTGTGTTTGACAGTTCATGACGAAGAGTCCAAACAAGCGTCTGGGCTGTGTGGCAGCACAAGGTTGTGAGGATGCCATCAAGCTCCATCCGTTCTTCAGAGAAATTGACTGGATGCTGCTGGACCAGAGGAAGATCAAGCCGCCGTTTAAACCTCGTATTGTGAGTTCAGTCTGGGAGATTGTGTGCTAATCCTTTCCAAAGAAAGTTCTTGTTTGTTTTCTAACTTGGTTAAAAACCGCTGACACGGCTGCAGGAGTCCCACAAGTACAAAGGCTGAAATCTGACCAAGCAGGACCTTATCTGATGTTCTGTTTCTTACAGAAAACCAAAAGGGACGTCAATAACTTTGACCAGGATTTTACACGTGAAGAACCTGTCCTGACGCCCGTGGATGACAGCATCATCAAGCAGATCAACCAAGATGAATTCAAAGGATTCTCGTACTTCGGAGATGAAACATCTTAGATTGCCGACATGTTGGATCCCAAATACCCCAGGAATTATACTAGACCATTGTGTCTTCATTATGGATCCTGTGTTTTTGTTTGTCCATTCATACGAACTATAACTGTATGCTTCAGCAGCATGAGGCAGGTGTGTGCATGCATCTCCAAAGAGATGCTCATTCCTTCACACGATGTGACGTGTCCTGTATCTGTAAAGAATGTTTTGTTTTTTTTCTCTTGAACGTGTCTGAATGGCAAAGACATGAATGAATAATTACATTTAAAGCAAAAAAAAAAAAAAAAAATTTTTACTCCCTGAAAAATGAAGCGAGGAAAGGCAGAGAAGTTGATGTCTTACTTTTAATCAAAGCAAGAAAGGAAATGTTAGGAAGAGGCACCAAGTCTTCAACATTTGCATTGCTAAGCTTTAATTTTAGCTTAGCAATGCTTTATTTGAAGCAAAGAATGGAGAGAAAGCAGGCGTATTAGGGCCATCATATATAGAAAAAAAAATTTTAACTGTCCACCAATAAACTCAGAAATTATTAGATTAATCTCAGAAATTTTCTAGAAAAAACTTGGACATTTCTGAGTTTTAAAAATTTCTTAGAGTCAAAAATCTAACATTTTTGACTTTTCAAACTCAGAAATTTCAAAATATTTCTGAATTTTTGGTAGGAAATTTCATTATGTTTTTGTCCCAACCTTACAATTTTTGTTTTTTCTACAATGCACCATCGTAGGAAACTGATGTTCCAGCTCTTACTAAATGGTACATTAGTTTCTTGCTAACTGAGCCCGACGTAGCATGACACTGGGAGCGTCCGTTGCCGAGTTAAGCCCTTTCAGACAATGATGTTAGTTAGGGAGCCACTGCAACTCAAATGGGAAAGCAAACCTTCATGGCCTGTTTGGTTTAAAACTAGGTAGAAAAAAAAGTTTATCAACTTTTATTTTCTGTAAATAATAATGATTAGAATTGTCAGACTCCTCCACTCTCAGACTGTCTTCAACACGTTTACCTGAATCCAGTTATGATGCACTGAAGAGTTACCACTTGGACTTTTTCAAGTTTTTTCAGATTACAACCATAAACTTTGACATTTTTATGTGAAAAAGTTTCTCCTTTTTCACATAATAGAACCACATAGTAGTGCATAACTGTAAAGTGGAAGATAAATAAAATATGGATTTCCATGTTTTGATAAATAATCAGTTCAAACCCATTATTTGTCCTAAAGGAAACCCAGAGTCTTTGTGTGGAAGACATCAAAACATGCCATATTTTCTCAATTAAATTTAGGTTTGGACTTTGACTGGACCATTCTAAGACATAAATATCAAACTAAAGAGGTCTGAATGCAAATAGATGCCACTCATTTCCAAGTTTTATGCACTATCATGTGTTAGTTTCTTACAAAACAAAATCTACTTAAATTCAAGTTTGTGGTTTTCAGCTAAGAAAATATGGAAAAAGTTTGACTGGTTCTGCATTGCACTGACTCAGACATCTAGTTATATTAAAAATAGAAACAATCTGGTCTGTGTGACATCGCAAATAAACCTTGAGGCATATTCGTACCATAAGAAAGACTCTTTATACATTCCTACATGTCTCTAACCAGGATTTGAAACTGTCAGGTTGTCCTTTGAAAGAATAAAATTTAAGTATTTCCACACCATTGATTCTACAGCGTTTACACATTGAAGGTGGTTTACGATAATTATCACATTCCTTTATATAAAAATCTGGCTTTATTCATTGAAAAACGATTCCTGCATTGTCACATGGACATGCTCGTACCAAAGAAAAAAAAAGTCACCTTGCTTGTGAAGGTGATGGTGAGGTGAAGAGTCAAACAACATTTTAAAATACAGTGAATGCCACTCCACATATTCACGGAAAATTCGCCTATATATGGATTTTTTTTCCACAAAAATCTAAAATAATCAAAAGAAAATGCAGTGTGGGAAGCTGAAATACCCATGCCCTGTGCTACTTAACATGCTACTGACTATCATTAGCAAAACAGACAATCAGGGAGCAGCATACATGTTCATTGACTCTGATTTGCTGTACCCTCGGCGTAGATGTAAAATATTGAGGAACCAACTTTATGAAATGTCTCTGGATTCTTCACCTCACCAGGTTGTTAAGCCAGAAAACCAAAAGAATATTTGCTAAGTGTGTTGGTCATCCAGGCATCAGGTCAGCAGCTTGATGGTCACCATTTGTTTCCGTAACACCTTTTGTTTGAGCGGCGGCTGCGATCGGTTGATGTGTTGGATGTATTGGACATATTGGAAGTATTGTATCGTTCCTCAGCAGTCTGTACTCAGAGTCCAGGCGGGTTCATGTGACTGAAGAATGCGTGAAACTGAATGTATTTGCTCTGCATTGTCTGTTTACAATATGCAGAGAGCTGTTGTCATGTTGTCTTTAAGTTTTATTTAAAGCATCTTTATGTTGTCATCGCTGTCTGTAGAGTTTGTGTGATAAATTTCGGTGACACTCCCATCTTCAGAGACTCATCACTCCCACCTCTGAAGTTCAGAGGCTTTACTTTATGTTGCAGGTCAGAAAAGGTCTGAGAAAACTCCATGTGCAATACTCAATGAGATACTTGTTTCCTTTAGGTAAATGTACTCTGTCTGTCTGTCTGTCACTCCCAGGCCTTCCTTTAATCCCTGACACAGATTCACTTTCAGTTCTCAGTCGAGCAGATGAGTGAGGAAGACTCCACATATTTCAATGTCCAAGTTTTTTGCATACATCATGTTTTCTCCAGCAGTTCCTACCCTCTCTTGGAACTGGATCTTTGGACGATTGGGACCGCCACTACTGCTAGAATTTAAGCATGAAAATATTGCAGTTCACTCACATTTAACATTGTGTGACTGATTACCGTGGATCTAAATTGATCCAAAAGAGAGTGCTACAGAAGCAACACCTCTAGTGCGTAACATCCAAACTCTTCCCTAGAAGTTTTTAGATAGACATTTGCTTAGATTGAAATTCCAGGTTTGAGCAGAGAGGTAGAAAGGTTTGGGGGGAACAATGTGGGCCGGCTTGGCTTCACTCTGGTGTGTTGAGCTTCTTCTCCAATGAAAAGTCTCACTCTCTGCGGTTAATATCTTGTTCCGTTCTGGCCCAGTCGGGTGTGTCTCTATTGCTGATATTTTATTTTGTGCTTGTACCCATGGGAGGCCAGATTCTCTGACATCTTTTGGTTAATTTGTTCATTGCCCTGAGCAGTTGACGGTGAATGGGCTCTTCCAACACAACTGATGAAAAGGTTTGGATCTGAAGGTTTGACCGTGAAATTATGAATATTATGGTCTCATCATAATTTGAAGACGGTGGTTGAGATGTTGTTGACTTAAATCCATCAAGAAAATCAAGAAATTCAATCTGCTTCCAATCAAATCGCTTGGCTAGATCTGCTTTGTACTACAAATAAGGTGGTTTTTAAAAAACGGAAAAAACAGAATCTTTAAATGGAGATGAATCTGGTCGGGCTGACGAGAAGAACCGGTTAAAGCCTCGGCTGTGGAGAAGAAGCTTTATAGTCATAGAAAGACCAGAATAAAGGAGAATCACTGGTCTGTGGAAAGCACTACCTTTACTGTGCTTACTTTATTTCATTGCTTTCTGTAAAACCACAAACTTTATTGTACTTTGTTGGTGATTTTATGTCATCCATACCTAGTGGAAATGTTGCAGGTTGGATCGGGTCAACGGTTGGAGGAACCAACAAGAAGTTGCTTTATGGGTGGGGTTTCTTAGCTACTCTGCACACTGACAAACCGAAATTTAGGCCCCCTTCCTCTTTGGAAATGGCTCATGTTCAAACTGGATGAAGAGTGTCTACAAGCCACTGTTTAGATTTTCCTACAACTTCCCAACTAGATTTAGCTCTGGACTTTGACTGGGCCTTTCAAAGCACAAAACCTGCTTTAATTTGAACTAACCCAGTGGAGTTTTGGCTGTATGATTCAGGTCGTTCTTCTGCTGGAAGGTAAACCTTTCTCCTCAGGATGACACCATGATACTGCCACCACCATGTTTCATACTGGTGATGGTGTGTTAAGTTGAATGTGGAGTGTTAGTCTTAAACTATTATTACCCTCTGGTGTGAAGACCTTGAGCTTCGGCTTTACTCTAAATGAATTAGATGCAACACTCCATTAACCGATCTCATAAAATACCAATAAATGACTTTGAATGTAATGTTGTAGATGAAATAAATAAATGTGAAAAATGATAATCACTTTTGCAAAGTCCAGTAAAACAGATCACTTATAAAAAGCTTATGAAGTCACTGTGAAAACACATTGAGATGATGTAATTTAGTAGCAAATTTGGTTACTGGATCCACAGCTGACCAATCAGAAAACGGCAACCTTTAAAGTGACAGGGGTTAAAACAGGCCATTTTAGAGAGAATAGTGCAACAATTTACAATGTAAAAAATATAATGTATTTTTAAATTATGCTTGTGAAAAATAATAGAATTATTTGAAGAAGCAGGATATGGAGTCTCACTGGGTAATTTTAGTGTTCCAACACTGGGCTTGCTTGATGGATTTCCTGTCACTCGAACTCTAAAAAACTGCATTTATGTCAACATGTGAACATAATATTACAGTTTGGGAAACTTGGCATGCTGTAACTACGTACTAGCAACATACATGTAGCAGTAAACATGAATCTCACTGTAGTGGTGGAATGTGGAGCAAATGTTTGATTCCAATTTTAAACTCTGAAATCCACAGAAAGCCAAGTAGACAGAACAGTTAGTCAGGTTTCTTTTCATCATTTCTTTTTCATCATTTTCAGCTTCCTCTCTTCCTCCTCTTTTTATGTCTCCGTCTGCAGCTTTGTTTAGTTGAAAATCTTTAAATGTCAAGTTGTTTGTCCCACTACGCCCCCCAGAAAAGAACACTGTGTCCCAGAAGTCCTCAATTGCCATTTGCCGTTTCCAACTAAAACATCCTTGAGCTTAACGTTCACTGATTTTTTTTTCACATCAGTAACAAGTAGTGAAAACTGAACTAAGTGCTAAAATCACTCTTCTATACAGATTGTTTCTGTTTGCATACATTTAGTTTTTTTGTGGTTCCCGTATTTGTCAGTGCATTCTGTAATCAAACCTGTGGTGTTATTTTTGTTGTTTTCATGCCTGTCTTGTGAGTTTATGCTTATTTTTTTATTTTATTGGTTGCGCTTTGGTTGTGAAAGATGTACTGTATTTTCAAAGGATATGAAGGTGTATTTAAATTTTTGAAAGGAATTAAATATGATGTCTGAATGAAACATCTCTGTTCTTTATTGATTGTATTGATACTTATATTAGGCTATTACTGGAAAACAGTTATAGACAGGTATTATCTTGCAGCTTCAGTTATCTTGTTAATCAGAACAACCGTCAGAAGTAGTTTATCTCATTCTTTGTTTCTGAAAAATGTAGTTGGACTGGCTTGTAATAGCTTAACAGCCGGGGCTGAGGCAGAATGCTGCTCTGGCCTGATTAGTTCGGCTTATCT